TAGGGTCAGCTGGGGTCTCCCCTTAAGACAGAGAAGAACCTGAGTCACACCCAAAGAAGAAGATTTTATACATGTTTCTTACAAAGAGATACAGCAATTAACAAATGACTGGCTGATCACCTCCTCCCACATCTCCACGGCCTCAACACTCAAGGAGACAGGATGTCTGCCTAAAGCCTTTCAACATAACAGAAATGAGGGAAATGTGTGAAGGTTCATGAACAACAGTTTCCTTGTTATCCCTTTGGTTTTCAAAGGTAAGGAAATAAAGATGAGAGAAACTGGGAGCCCTTTTTCATAAGGTTTCAATGCAACTTTCTTTTTAAACTTTATCACGGAGACTGATTTCCTCTTGTGGCCAGGAATCCTCAGCCACCTTACTGTAAGTTACTGGAGGGGGTCAGTTTTGCATCCCCCCCCCCAAATTCCTTCTGGTTTGCTTTGCCATCAGAGGGATAAGGTGTCTGATGATTTGGGTGGGGGGAGTTGCTGGCTGGAGGGCAAAATCTATTGGAACATCTCCCCAATATCCACCAAGTGAGATTTCTTTTGGTTTTTCTGTTATTTTTTCCCCCCTTGGCAAAAGTTAATAGTTCTTCCTTGGCTGAAAGCTCTGGGGAGGGATGAGATTTGGGTCTCTCCCCCACCCATCCCCAGCAAATTCATATGTAGCTATGTAGAAACGCGCCCGCCCGTCCCTCCCTCCCTCCCACCCCTCAATGAGAGTGGTGTGAATCTGCATTTTGCACGCCCATGGAAAGGTCAGCCTGGAGTTTTGCACAGCAGAGGCTGGCCTAATTAAGCAGGCAGGGGAAGGAAGGAAAAATCTCAACGGGAAAATCAACCAGAACGGGCGAAATGGGGAGGGGCAACGTTTTCCCAACTGCCCCCTCCCTTTTAAGCCCAAGTGCAAAAGGGAATGATTGCAAGACACAGGTGCACATTTTAAACTCAACTTGCATGCACGTGCGCGCATTTGTGTCTGATGTTTGTATATACAGTATCTTATAATCTCAGGAAATCCTTTCTTTTTTATTGCTACATTGTAAATGCAACTGAAACAGCGCATATATTGGTGTGGGACACGACTGAACGGATTTAAAAAAAAGAACAGGAAACAAGCGTCTCGTCAAGTAGATTAATTTTTTTTAATCTACTCTTATCGCTTCACTACCTTAGACATGGAGTCCTTCTACTGGGGAAAGCCCCTTTTCTAACGTCGGTACTGTATTTTCGCCAAGTGGGGGGGGGGAAGGGGATGCTCTGGGGGGGGTCTGACAGAGGCAAAGTGAGAGAGGTGGAAAAAAGAAGACCAGTGGTTTAGTTCAAAGTCTGACTCAGCAGAAGCTCAACAGGCTTCTTAATTCAATATTCTGTGCATTACACCGTAACCGATTACGGCCATGCACTGAACATTTTTCTAGGGCAGTGTTTCTCAACCTGGGCAACTTTAACCGATTACAGTCCTGCATTGAACATTTCTCTAAGGCAGTGTTTCTCAACCTGGGCAACTTTAACCGATTACAGTCCTGCATTGAACATTTCTCTAAGGCAGTGTTTCTCAACCTGGGCAACT